ACATATGAAAACATGCCCAAAGTCACTAATCATCTGAAAGATGCAAATCCAAAAGACAATTAAGTACCACCTCACACCTGTCAGAATGGCTACCATCAACAAATCAACGCACCATGGATGTGAGGGAGATCTGGCTGCGACATCTGTCACCCCATTGATCGCCAGGGTTGATTCGGCTGATCTGGCTGGCTAGGCAGGTGACCCCCTCCTCCCTCACCGATCCATGTGCGTCCCTCCCGAAGCTGCGCGCTCGGTCGAAGAGGACGACCTTCCCCCCCGAGGAGAGGACTGGTCTTCGGTCAAGGGTATACGAGTAGCTGCGCTCCCCTGCTAGAATCTCCAAACAAGCTCTCAACGAACCACAAGTGCTGGAGAGGATGCAGAGAAAAAGTAACCCTTGTGCACTGCTGGTGGGAATGCTGTTTGGTGCAGCCACTGTGCTACACAGCGTGGCATTTCCTCAAAAATTTAAAATTGGAACTTCCATTTGACCCCAGAATAAAAAACTGGTAAATATTGAAAGATAACTATCACCTGATCTCACTCATTTGTGGAATATAATGAACATTATAAACTGATGAACAAAAATAGATACAGAGACAAAGAAGCATTTAACAGACTGTCAAACTTCAGTGGGAAGGCAGGGGAGGGGGAAGGCAGGGTGGGGTAAGGGATCAACCCAGGGACTTGTATGCATGCATATTAGCATAACCAATGGACACAGACACAGGGGCAGTGAGGGCTTGTCCTGTGGGTTGGGAGTGGCAGGGGAGGGGTCAATCAGGGAAAAAGGAGACCCATGTAACACTTTAAACAATAAAAAAAGCTGAAAATTTTAGAAGATTAATTATGAGTATGATTTTTGTAGGAAAGATAATGGAGTATTACAATCAATGGGGACATTCAACGAAAGGACTTTGGCACTGCATCAAAACAGGAGAATAACATTTTTACTTATTTTAAATAAAAATGTTCATAATGCATATTTGGTATTTTTGAAACTGTGATTGAGTTACTAAGGCAGAAGGGGAGCATAAGTCTTGGATATAGAACTAGCAAGTCTGTCAGTAGGAATATTTTCTTTTCTCTGTGTGTGAATACTGAGCTTCTCAGCTTCAGGAGTTAGCAGCAAGAAGCATTGAATGATGAAGCATAAACTACACATACAGCATTCCTATCATGTTCTCTTAAAAATTGCAGAATTCTAGCAAATTGTCCTTGGATGATTTCTTTTTAGAATGATGGGCATGGTTATCTATCTTAATTGCCTTTAGCTTTTATTACTGCTTTTTACTGCATCAAGTATTTGGCTAGGGACATTAGAGTAGATGGCTTTAATCCCATTTAAAAGACACTGAACTCTGACCAATGTGGTTCAGTTGGCTGGGTATAGTCTTGTGCGCAGCAAGATTGCTGGTTTAATTCCCCGTCAGGGCATGTGCCCAGGGTGTGGGTTTGATACCAAGTAGGGGGTGTGCAAGAGGCAACCAATCAGTGTTTCTCTCTCACATTGATGTTCTTCTCTCTCTCTCTCCCCCTCTCCCTTCCTCTCTCTTCAAAAATCAATTTAAATCATTATTTTAATAAGTAAGTAAGTAAATAAATAAATAAATAGTATTGAAAATCCTCTTGAAACTCTTCAAGTGAGCTGGGATCATGGTGTTCTTTTTGGGTGAGGCAGTGTACTCCTTCACGAGGTCAGCCCAATCTGACATTCCTGGGTTAGGGTATTGCCTTTCAATGTTACAGAATAAGTTGGAATTAAACTGTCATCCTTTCTTTTGATAAAACTTATCAAAAGAGCACTAAGTGTAATCACTACTTACATCATATTTAACAAAAATTTTCCATTTATCTCATATCTAAGGATAATTTAGGCTATATGTCTATTGAAATTCATTTGATACTATAATTTGTTACATCCCTTCTGCACTCTATCAAGTGCTCCTAATATAATGAATGAGATGAAGAAGAATAATGCTAACACTTAAAAGGTGCCTACTACTTCCAGAAACTGCTATAGTGCTTTATTACCTCACTTAATCTTCCTTACTGCTCTGAGAGGAAGGTACCACCATTATTATTCTTTTTATTTTTTTTTGCAGATGAGGAAATTGAGGCACAAAGGTTAAATAATTTGTGCAAGATTGTACAGCTGGCAAATAGAACTGGAGTTATTAATATCGCAATTTCATGTTGCATTTCATAATACGTGTAGGTAGAAAAGTCTCAAAGTTTGGGTTAAAAATGACTACTACCTTATTGAGAAACAGAATAGTATTGCTTCATTTACAACAAACACGCTCATTTTGTTCAAATATAACCATTAAAATCCCACAACTACAGTTAGTGCTTTCTTAAGTTGTCTTTATTGTTGTTGCTTTACTTGAAAAGTAATGCATATGCTTGGGAAAAATTAATCTTTCCAAAATTAAAACCTAAAGTATCTTTAGAATCTTTACTTTCTCTCACCTCCTCTCCCTTCCTCAGAAGTAGAACTTTTGACATTCTGCTTTAAGCTCTTGGCAGTGGTTGTCTCTGTAACTCTAAATAATAGTTAGATGTTACTTCTTGATTGTCAAATTAAGCAGTAGTGATAGACTTCCTACTATTGTTAAGAAAGGAAGCTAATTTACTCTCCCAACATTTTTTCTCCTCACCCTTTCTCCCACTTTTATTAGTCATCTTATAGTATAATTCTCTTATTGAGTAAAATTAAATCTTTCAATCATACTTAAATTTGTATTTTTTGAGCCATAGAATTGTGATAGTAACTCTTGACTCTTCCAAACAAGAAGAGGAAATTAGTACTCTTACATTTCCCTCCTTCTTGTTTCCCTCTCTGCTTTTCCCAGTTGTGCCAACTGTAGCCTACTTTTCCATAATTGTTACAGGTTCAAAATTGATGTGGCCAATGCTTCAAAAGGCCAAAACTCAAAATGTCAGCATGTGAAATAAGGGAAGATTTATTGATTGAGAAGGTGACAACCAAGAAGATGGGAGTCCTAGTGGTGTCTCAAATCCACTTTAAGATAGTGCTGAGTTCAGGCTTCCTTTATGTCAAGGAAAGGAAAATGGGAAGGACTGTTTTTGTAAAACTCAAGCTGCCAGCAGAATGCTTCTAATGATTAGCATGTCTATAAGCAAGACTAAGCAAGAGCCATTTTTTTTTTACTAGCATTTCACTGTATGGCTATATACAATTTGTTCATTCTTTCTCATATCGATGGACATCTGAACATTTCTATTTTTGTATATCATAAATAATAAAGTTATTATAAGCATTTCTGTTTGTTTTCTAAACATAAAGCTTTTAAAATACTTTTAAAATATCTGGGATTGAAATTGCTGACCCACAGAGTAGGTATACACTCATGTTTGTAAGAAATTTCTAGGCCTTTTGTCAAGTGCTTAAATCATTATACATTCCCACCAGCAAAATTCTGGTTACTCCATATCCTCACCAACATTGGGTTTTGTCAGTCTTTTTTATTTTATTTTATCAGTTCTGTTGTGTGTATAGTAATATCTTATAGTTTTAATTTGTATTTATTTAATTACTAATGATGTTGAACATCTTTTTTAAAAAATACATTTTTATTGATTTCAGAGAGGAAGGGAGAGAGAGAAACATTAGCGATAAGAGAGAATAATAGATTGGCTTACGCCTGCACTTCCTGTACTGGGGAATGAGCCCGCAACCTGGGCACGTGCCCTGACTGGGAGTCAAACCATGACCTCCTAGTTCATTGGTGGATGCTCAACCACTGATCCACATCAGCTGGGTGTGATGTTAAACATCTTTCCATGAGCTCCGTATCCATTTGCATATCTTTTGTGGACTATCTGTTTAAATCAACATGCTATTTAATTTCTTCTAAAATTATTTGTCTCCATTTTATTGCCTGACTTAAAATATCATTGTTTTATCCTTAAATTTTAAAATAAATGTAGGATTACCAATTTCAAGATTATGAGTAGAGGGAATAATCTTATCTTATATGTGAAACCTTTCATTATTTTTGGTCTTTTGAAGAGACTGCAGGTCTCACTTTTTGTTGCCAAAACTGCTGTACCCCCCTTAACCATGGTGGTAATCTGGTAACAAATGCCCCACAACGTCACTTTTGGAAATGTTTTTAGACTTTTGAAAAGGCTTTTCTTAATTAGAAAAATATAATTATGAGTTCTTTAAGAAAAAAACTTCTATCAACAGTAAATGAGCTACTGCTGAATCTAAAAAGAGTTACTTGTAGCAGTAAGTTTTCTTATACTAATAATTTTTCTCATATCAATGTATGTTGATTCCCATGAATTTTTCGAATACAATGCCAATGGAATACTTCTGTAGAGTTGTTAGACATGGTCTATTTTTTAAAAAAACACACCTACTTATCCTACTTTAAAATATAAATGTGCATTTTTCTTCTCCTCCTCTTCTTTCTTTTGTAATAATAATACTATAGTATTTGCAGCAGTAATAATACCACTACTAATAATCAAAACTGTGAGTGATTAATTGCTCAGCTTGTGAGAGATAATGTGCTACATGCTAAAATATTATTTTATTATATACATAAGATAGACGTTAATTATCTTTGATTTCATAAATTAGAACCCTGGACGAAGGGCAAGTTGTTATTTGTTGGAAGGCCTGGAACTGAGACATGATAGACTTAGAGCCTAAACTTCACATTTACTGCCTCCCATTAACTGTGATGTGCTGCTTTTCAGATCACAGACTCAAGAACTTGGGAATATGATATGATTAGTTGTACTATTATACTTGTATAAGTCACTCTAATGGGTATCAGGAATGTTTCATTGAGCATTTTTTTTTTTTTTTGGAGAGATGGACATTTTATTGGAAACCTACTTGTATAAGTCACTCTAATGGGTATCAGGAATGTTTCATTGAGCATTTTTTTTTTTTTTTTGGAGAGATGGACATTTTATTGGAAACCTACTCTTCAGACAGAACACAATGTCTTCAATCAAGGCTCTCAGGTGCCTTAACAGAGAAAACTGAAATTTTGGGATTAGGGTCAAGGAGAGAGAGACAGCTTGGAGGAAGAGCGCTGGGATCCCCTCAAGAATGCTCTTCGGCCAGCTTAACAGCTTCTGCCACAGCTTCTTCAATGGGTCCCACCTTAGAGAGGCCTGTTTTGGGAGATGGTCATATTCACCTGCCAAAATCTGTTGGAATCCTTTGATGGTCTCCTTCAGGGGTACCAACTTCCCCATATGACCTGTAAAGACCTCAGCAACCTGGAATGGCTGAGACAAGAAACGCTGTATTTTCCGTGCACGGGACACAGTCAACTTGTCTTCCTCAGAAAGTTTATCCATACCCAGAATGGCAATGATATCCTGGAGGGATTTGTAGTCCTGTAGGATCTTTTGCACCCCACGGGCAACATCATAATGCTCATTGCCAGCAATGTTGGGCTCCATGATGCGAGAGGTGGAGTCTAGAGGATCCACAGCTGAGTAGATGCCCAGTTCAGCAATAGCACAGGACAACACTGTGGTAGCATCCAAATGGGCAAAGGCAGTGGCAGGGGCAGGGTCAGTCAAGTCATCTGCAGTCACGTAGATAGCCTGTACAGAAGTGATAGATCCCTTCTTGGTAGTGGTGATTCTTTTCTGCATGGTACCCATATCAGTAGCCAGGGTAGGCTGGTAGCCTACAGAAGAAGGGAGTCTACCCAATAAAGCAGACACCTCTGAGCCAGCCTGGGTGAAGTGAAAGATGTAATCGATAAACAGCAGCACATCTTGACCTTCTTGGTCTCTGAAGTATTCAGTCACAGTTAGTCCAGTCAGAGCTACCCAGGCACGAGCACCAGGTGGTTCATTCATTTGCTGTACACCAGTGCTACCTTGGAGGTAGCAACTTTTAAGTTGATAACACCAGACTCAATCATTTCACGGTATAAGTCATTGCCCTCTCGTGTTCTCTCACCAACACCAGCAAACACAGAATAACCACCATGGGCTTTGGCAATGTTGTTGATTAACTCCATGATCAGTACAGTCTTGCCAACTCCTGCACCACTAAAGAACCCAATTTTTCCACCTCCTAGGGAGCCAGGAGATCCACAACCTTGATACCAGTAACCAAAATTTCCTGCTCAACACTCATCTCAATGAACTCAGAAGCCGCAGCATGAATAGCAGCAAATTGTTTGGTTTTGATGGGGTCTCTCTCATCAATAGGTTCTCCAATGACATTCATAATTCTGCCCACGGTCTCAGGACCAAGGGGAATTCTGATTGGTGCACCAGAATCCAGGACTTTCTGGCCTCTAACCAAGCCTTCTGTACCATCCATGGCAATGGTCCTTACAGTGCTCTCACCCAGATGCTGGGCCACCTCCAACACCAGCCTGGCCTCCCTGCCTTGTACTTCCAGGGCATTTAGGATGGGCGGCAGTCCCTCGTAGAACTGGACGCCCACCACTGCACCCATGACGGCCACGATCCGCCCGGTGGCGGCGCCTGGCAACTCCTGCACCACTAAAGAACCCAATTTTTCCACCTCCTAGGGAGCCAGGAGATCCACAACCTTGATACCAGTAACCAAAATTTCCTGCTCAACACTCATCTCAATGAACTCAGAAGCCGCAGCATGAATAGCAGCAAATTGTTTGGTTTTGATGGGGTCTCTCTCATCAATAGGTTCTCCAATGACATTCATAATTCTGCCCACGGTCTCAGGACCAAGGGGAATTCTGATTGGTGCACCAGAATCCAGGACTTTCTGGCCTCTAACCAAGCCTTCTGTACCATCCATGGCAATGGTCCTTACAGTGCTCTCACCCAGATGCTGGGCCACCTCCAACACCAGCCTGGCCTCCCTGCCTTGTACTTCCAGGGCATTTAGGATGGGCGGCAGTCCCTCGTAGAACTGGACGCCCACCACTGCACCCATGACGGCCACGATCCGCCCGGTGGCGGCGCCTGGCTTAGGTGCCGGAGACATTTGGACAGCATAGTCTCTGGCAGGCTGAGGCACTTCCAGGGCAGCCCGCAGTAAGAGCTGGGCTTGGGGTAACAGCGCTGAGGGCCTGAGTCTTCACAAGGCCCCGGAGGCCGAGACTGCGGCCACACGACCCACAAGACCCAACATGGCAGAGTCCGGGTGGAGACTGAACCTCATTGAGCATTTTATAGGAGTGTTTTTATTTGGTTTGTCTTTGGGCATCAGAATCTTAACTCATTTGTTAATTGAAGTCCACCTGGTCTAGGCATGTGGTTATAATGATATCTGGATGAAATATTTAGTTCAAATATATGAATATAGCAAATAGATTACCTAAGAGTAAGAAAACTTTATAGCAAATGAAATATACAATAGTACAGAGCATCTACTATGTGCTTGGTGTTCTGTTAGAGAAAGCTGAATAAGTTATGAATCTGTGCCCAAGAGCTTATAGCATAACTAGAGGCCTGGTGCACAAAATTTGTGTGTGTGTGTGGGGGGGGGTGGGGGGGTTGTCCCTCAGCCTGACCTGCACCCTCTCCAATTTGGGAGCCCTCAGGAGATGTCCTACTGTTGGCTTGGGCCTGCTCCCCATGGTTCTCTGCTCTCTACAGGGCCTGCCTGATGCACACCACAGTGATGGGCAAGTAGGCCCTGCTGGGTGCTGCCTGAAGGGCCTGCTTGTCTGCTCATGGGTCACCCCTGCAGCAGCCAAGCAGGCCCTGCTCGGTTCTGCCTGCGGCCCTGCTTGCCTGCTTGCATTGGTGCACTTTCCTGCTGGGCTCATCTTGCCAGGGTGATACTGCCAGCATCTTGCCCCATCCACTATGGGTGCCATCATCTTTTTTTCATGGAGTGACAGTTAATTTGCATATCACTCTTTTATTAGCTAGGATAAGGATTACTAAGATATAAGATGTAAACAGAAGATTTCTTTATAACATAGCTAATGCTATGATAGAGGCATACAATAGACTATCCTATATAATAAAAGCCTAGGTGGTGTCACATTCTCGTGCAATGCCATCATGTGACACCATCGCACAACGTCAGCACAAAATGGCTGCCGCAAGATGGCCACCCTCACGTCATCACAAGATGGCCACCACAAGATGGCCATTACAAGATGGCTGCCACCAGATGGCTGGCAGGGGAGGGCAGTTGGGGGTTAACAGGTGGGCAGGGTAGAGCAGCTGGGTAAAACCAGGCCTGTAGGGGAGGGCAGTTGGAGATGATCAGGCCGACAGGTTAGGGCAATTGGGGGTGATTGGGCCAGCAGGGGAGGGCAGTTGCAGGTGATCAGGCAGGCAGGGGAGCGGTTAGGGGGCGATCAAGCTGGCAGGCAGAAGCAGTTAGGAGCCAGCAGTCCCAGATTGTGAGAGGTTTGTCTGACTGCTGGTTTAGGCCTTATCCCACAGCGATCAGGCCTAATCTAGCAGTGGGACATCCCCCGAGGGGTCCTAGATTGGAGAGGGTACAGGCCGGGCTGAGGACATCTCCCTCATGCACGAATTTCATACACTGTGCCTCTATTATCTTATATATAATATATACTATATATATCCCATATGCTTGGTATTTCAGAGAGTATCTTTTAGTCTCAACTTGCTAAGGCCTGGGTGAAATTTGTTGCTAGGATTTCCTGAGGGAAATGTTCACTGATTTTGATTTTACATTTTATGATCTCCTTGCCTAACCTCTTTTGGCACTGGAATGGCTAATGCTAATTTGAGAGACTGCTCTTTTAAACCACTTTGCAAAATTTGAAATTTTTAAAATTCGGAATCTTAAATATTAAACTTGTATCTTAAGAGAAAGAACATAAAATCCTGATTCTATTTCTCTGCAGCTTTCAGGGTCTATCCTTACAGAAGGATGATTGTTTTGTTTGCTCTAGGCTGCTGAGAAATTCATATCCTGACATGAGAAAAAAAACTAAGGCAGAATGAACCTGGGGAGTATGGGGCATAGGAAATATGAAATACTTGGATTTGTTACTAGATTTTATTGGAATAAAGGGCCATGAAACATCCTTATTGTATCTGAAAATGGGAAGCTAACAATCTTCATGTTGCTTGTGGTTTATTTAGGGTGCTTGGGAATTTACTCTTATAATTTAAAGGGATGGGAAATGTAAGGATGGTGATATTGAATGGTTATTTTTGGAGCATTGGGCAACTTACAGCATGAAAAAGACAAATTCAGGTTTCAAAATATCTGGCTCAGGGAGCAAAAGGAAAGACAGTATGTAACTCTTTTGCAGGAATTCCCTTCTGAAAATAGTTGGTGCACTGAGATTGCTGGAAAGAAATAGCAGAAATTGATTTTCAAGAAGTACATTTTACATCAGGCTTTGGAACATACATATGCATGGAATATGTGTGTTCATCTGTGTCAACAGCAATAAAATTTCTAGAAACAATACCAACCCTTACAATATTCCATTCACTGTGATATTTCCTCCTTTATTCTATTAAAAAGTTTCCAGAAACAACACTGTGATGTTGTGATTTATAAGATATTTGGTCTTCATCCACAATTCTTGGATCATAGCACCCTAAACTCATGGAATTTCCTGTGTTTAGAAAGGATTTTGGAAAACACCTGAGGAGAGGAGCTCCTTGCTGGAGAACTGGACCATGTGTTAAAGGTTTGGATATTTTAGTCCCATCCCTTGAACTCTGGGGAGAAGGGCTTAAGGTTGAATCAATTCCCAATGGCCAGTGATTTAATCAATAATGTCTATGTATTGAAGTCTCAAAAAACCAATATGGTGGGTTTCAGAGAGCTTCCTGCAAGGTGAATACATGGTGTGTCAGGGAAACTTGTGCACTAGGAGAGGGCATAGAACTCCACCCCTTCCCACATACCTTGCCTTATGCATCTCCTCCATCTGGCTGTTCCTTAGTTATATACCCTTATGCAATAAACCAGAGATCTAATAAGTAATATGTTTCTCTGAGTTCTGAGAATTTCTTTGAGTTCTGGGAGCTGTTCTAGCAAATTAATTGAACTTAAAAGGGGGGGATGTAAGGATCTCTGATTTATAGTTAGTTGTTCAGAAGTGCAGTTGACAAACCTGGGTTTACAGTTGGCATTCTGAGTTAGAGAGGGTGGTTGGAACCTCCAACCTGCGGCCAAATCAGTCAGAAGTACAGGTAACCTCTGCTTGCATCTGGCATCGGAAGTGTGTATGTGTGTGTGTGTTTGGGGGTGGAGGGGGAGTGGTGGTGGTGGTGGTGGTGGTTGCAGTCTTGTAGGACTGAATGCTTATCTTGTCAAATCTGATGGTATCTCTGGGAAGGTTGTGTCAGGATTTAAATTCTAGAAAACCTGTGAGTATTTGAGCAATTTGAATACTAACCATTGTAATGTTCCAGTACTGTGATGGCTATTCTTAATCTTTTCTTCTTCTTCTTCTTCTTCTTCTTCTTCTTCTTCTTCTTCTTCTTCTTCTTTCTTCTTTCTTCTTTCTTCTTTCTTCTTTCTTCTTTCTTCTTCTTCTTCTCATTCTTTTATTCTTTCTACTAGAGGCCTGGTGCACAGAATTCATGCATGGGGGGGCAATCCCCTCAGCCTGATCCTGGGGATCAGGCCTAACCCGGAAGTTGGAC